CCCTACTATCCCCTGGGCCCTCCCGCACCTCACATGGCCTCCCCATTCCCCCCCCCACACACACACTCTGGGTGGGTCTCCCCCTAGGCCGTCTTCTGCTGCTGGTGCCCCCCCCCCTCGCTTTTCCACCACAGGAGCTTTGGCTAACAGGGGAGCTACCCCTGTTTTTGCTCCGGCCCATTGATGACCGTGGTGGTCACCGTGATCTCGCTGACGGTCACCGTTCCCGCTCTGTGTTCTTCTTGCAGCGGAGGACAGTGGAGATCGTGCAAGGAAGCCTTCTGGTCCTGGGACAGCCCAAAGGCTTCTGGGAGCCACCTGGTGAGCGGATGGTGCAAACTTGGGGTGCGTCTCAGCTTGTGTGTCTCCATGATGAGGGTGGTGAGCATGGTCAATATCTCCTGGCTGCTGAGTGTTCCGGTTACGTACCTCGCGAGAAGTTCCTGCCTCTTGGCTTCAGAGACATACTTGGAGAAGAGGAGGTCCCACATGGAGACGCTCCGGCCTTGGAATTCTCCTACTGGGAAGTCAATGGTTAGAATGTCCACGGTTTTCTTCACCCGGGGCTTCTCACGAGCCAGGCTGCCGCCGCCACTCCTGATGTCCGGGCTGGAGGCACTCACATGCCTGCCGGCCTTGGCCATCTTCTCTGCTACTCTGGCGACGATCGCAGTGATCACCGTTTCCATTTGGTCTGTTGAGAGAATTCCAATTCTGTACAGCTTCAGGATCTCCTTCCTTTTCTTCTCAGGCACATACTTGGAGTGCAGCAGGTCCCACAAGGAGACCTTCCGTCCACGGAACTCTCTGACTGAAACCGAAACCATCCTGGACTTCAAAGCCTTGTCCTTGTCTTGGTCCTCGTCATCATCGTCATCGTCATCGTCGTCGTCATCGCCATCGTTGTCATCGTCGTCGTCGCCATCCTCCTCCTCCTCCTCCTCCTCACATGTTGTGGTGTCAGGGTCAGGACCAGACTCAACTTGTGCTGTGGAGTTCCTACTTGTCCTGGGTGTTGTGCCCTCCAGAGAGTCAAAGAGTTCATGGAGCGAAGCCAGGATGATGAGGATGGAGGAGAGTTCCTCGGCACTAAACGTCCCGTCCCTGTACTTCCTCAGGAGCTCCTCCCTTTTGTCCCTGGCGATGTAGTGCGAGAAGAGGAGGTCCCACAGAGACACCTGCTGACCCTGGCGCTCTCCAGCAGGCAAGGCAACCAGTTTGGACTTCAGCACGTCGTCCAGATGTTTGCTGGCTGGAGAATCTGCCGCAAACAGAGCCTCCCAGCATCCAAATGCCCCTTGGCTCCGACCGATCACTTTCACAATGAGTTTCTTCCGACTGGCTTCCAATCTCTCCAGGACGCCACTGACCGCCCTGGTCATCTGATCCGTGCTAAACGTCCCTGCTCGGTACAGACCCAGCAGCTCCTCTCTTTTGTCCCGGGGGAAGTATTTAGATGAGATGATGTCCAGCAAAGGGACATTCTGCCCTTTGAACTCACCAAGGGTTACAGGGATACAGATCAACTGTAGATTTCTTTTCAGTTCTTCCTCCTGCGGATCGAAAATGTCGGATTCATCGATGGTCTCCATCTCCCGGCCTGGGCCGGCGACACGGCCCCGCTCCTTGGCCCGTACCTCCTCTATTTTGGTGGCAATGGCCGTGACCACCACTTCCATTTGGTCCGTGCTGAGGATGCCGGACTTGTACAGCCGCAGAAGTTCCTTCCGTTTCTCTTCAGGGATGTATTTGGAATGGAGCAGGTCCCACACGGAGACCTTCCGCCCGCGGAACTCACAGGCTGGAACCTTGACCCTCCGAGACCTCAGGGCCTCCTCTCGCCCTTCCTGCTCCGACGCGCTCCTCGGCTCCATGTCCCGGCTGGGTCCTTCCTCTTTCCCGCGGGGGGGGTCTCTTTGGGCTTCTGCCTCGGTGACGATGCCATGGAGGGTGCCGACGAGGTCCTGAAGCGTGACAGAGCCAGCTTTGTACTGCTTCAGCAGCTCCTGCTTCTTTGGCACAGGGACGTACCTGGAGAAGAGGAGGTCCCAGACAGAGACCTCTTGGCCCTGGAAAAGACCTGCGCTGACTTTGGTGGTGGCCGACTGCAAGGACTTCTGAGTGCTCTTATCCAGCTTGGAGACAACGGATCCCTTCTCCATGACCGGAACCATGAGCAGCCCAGTCTCTGGGTCAGGGACACACCTGTGGAGAAGCTGCGTGTACGTGAGGCTCTCCCGGGCAATGGGGTCAAAGCACCTCCTGGCGTGGCTGGCGGGGTCTGCGACCATGTGGGAGATTTCTCCGTCCAGGTAGCCCCACTTGTGCGCCAGCTCCACGGGGAGGCGGTGGCTGTGGGCGGGGTGGATGATGCCCCCCGTCGCGACCTGTGCCTCCAGCAGGCGGATGCCGTGGTCTTTGACCAGGAGGCCTTTCTTCATCGCCTGGAAGAGGGAGATCTTGCTCCCTGAGAAGGGGTCGGTGTAGCCCGTCACGGCCTTCTCTGCGACGAGAAGCGTGTTGAAATACTCTCTGTCGATCAGGCCAGCGTTCGTGGCGTCTCTCACGGACAGCTTCCGGTTCTTGATGGGGTCCACGATGTAGCCAGACACGGCTTGGGCCTCCAGCAGAGCCAGGCCCGTCGCTCGGGTCAGGAGTCCCTTCCGCATCGCCTTCTGGATACTCAGCTTCTCCTTGCTCGGCTCCTTCAGGACGCCGGCTATGACGGGCTCCTCTCCCAGCTCTGGGGGGCAAGGGAAGGGCCAGTGGGGCTCCTCGCGGACTTGCACGATCGGCATCTCTTCCGTGTCCCCTTGCTGGGCCTGCTGGGCCTGTGACATGGCTGGGCTGCAAATGCGTCCGGATGCGTCCCGGGGGCGGGTCCCGTGTGTGTGTGTGTGGGGGGAGGCAGCACCTGAGTCTCTGCAGGGAGAGAAGAAACAGAACAGCCTCCATCAGGGGCAGCCGGACTCACGGTCTGTTCGGGTTGCCCCCCAGAACGCACCCCCGCCACCAGTGTGCTTGTGGGTTTCCCACCTCCCTCCGAGGAGTTTGTGGCAGCAAAGATGGCTCCTCCCTCCTCCTCCGCCTTATCCTCTCAACTACCCAGTCAGGTGGGTTGGGGGGGGGAGATTGAGTGGCCCAGGGTCACCCAGCGAGTTTCAGGGGGGACCTGGGGCCTCTTCAGATCTAGTCCAACACTCTGCCCACTAGATCACAGTGGCTCACCTGGCAATGCTGGCTGAGGTCCAAGTCAGTTCTGGCACGCCCACCTGCCCCCTGCCCGTGCAGGGGGGCAGCGGAGGCTGTGCCCAGTCTGCACCTGTCCCTTGACAGCCCGTCACAGTGAGGCCTCCAGGGGGCTGGACTGAGGCTGCTCACAGCCAACGCTCCCTCTAAGCTGTGGAGAGTCTTGTGAGCAAAAATTCTACTTTGTGAGCTGCTGGCATTAAAGTTGTGAGTGAGCAACTTGGCTGCTGCGTAAATTAGCTAGCTCTGGAGCCCCATCCTTCCTGAGCTAAGACAGAAATCTGTGAGCTGGAGGCTAAAAAACTGTGTGCTAGCTCACACTAACTCAGCCTAGAGGGAATGCTGCGAGTCATGGCCCCGAATGGTATCTTTAAGAGGGCCCCCCCCGGCATGACCGAAAATGGCAGTTTAGTCATGGGTTGGGGGCAGTTAGAGGCCCCCACTACTCTCTTCTTTAGCTTTTGTCTAACTCCAGCTCTCGGCCCCCACCCTGTCCCAGACGCTTCGGGAACATACGGGGAAGTTTGATCATCCAACCAAATCCACTTCCCATGGCAGGAGGCGAGCCCTCAAGAGTCTGGCCCGGAACACCACCCGTGGCTGCTCCCCCACCTCCCTGCTTCTCCCCGGCCATCTCTCTCTCTCCGCCTTGGCTTCCTGGCTGCCCCACGTGGCCTCTCTGCCCCCCAGCCAGGAAACTGGTCTGTGCACGGTTGGCTGTGCCTACCCAGTGGCATCCACTTGCTCATTACTGTAATTGCTGTCTGGTGAAGGATGATTTATTCCAACTGGCTAATATTGGCTGCGGAATGAAAACAGGGCGGCTTGTCTGGTGAGGTCACGCTTCAAACACAACAGCTCATGGTGACGGTGGAGGTGGAGGAGCCCCGGGTGGCAGGCAGCGCTCGGACAGGGGCCCTGGAGGAAAGCAGGGGACAGGGAGTCCTCCTCACTTGGTCTTGCCAGGACTCCGCCGGGCCCCTTCCCCGGTCCCAGAGGCGAGGAACTGGGCTCTGCCCCCCACTCCTCCCCCCGCCCAGCGGCCCCCACCGTGGGGGTCTGGCCAGGAGGCCAAGATGGCTCCTTGTAAAAGGCCCCACTTAGAGCCAGCTCAGAGCTGAGGAGCTTCTAATGAGGCCGGAATGGGGGCCCAGCAGATGCCTGACTCACCCTCCGCAGGCACAAGCAGCCGGGATTGCCTGAGAGGTGCCGGAGCCGGAAGCCCAAGTGCCGTGCCCCCTCCCAAGGGCTCTGGCAACTCCCCTCGCTCGGAAGGAGGCCTTCGGGCAGGTGGGCTGCGTGCGGGGGGGGGCCCTGATCTGGGGGGGCTCTGCAGAGGCACGGCCGGGCGGGGCATCCGGGTGGCAGACTCAGCCGGGCAAAGGAGTGCTGCCGCTGCCGCCGCCTGCACAGCCCCCCCCCGGAAGCCACACACCGCCCCCCCGGGCCCCCATGCACCGCCTGCTGCAGGGGATCATGGGGCACAGCGAGGGGGGGGGACCCTGCAGTGTTGTCATGGGAGGCTGCTAATGACGTGGGATGGAGGCGCGCATCATTTCCTCCCCACTGGGGCAGGTGCAGCCCCACCTTGCTCTGGGGGCCTCCCCACTTCTGCAAGTAGCAGGAAGGCCGGCCTGGACATGCGTGTCCTCGGCGTCCCCCCCCCCAACACACAACCCACCCTCTTCTCTGGTGGGGAGGGGGAGCCAGCCGAGCTCCTTGGCAAAGTAACACCCTGGGAGCCCCGGCTGGTGGTGGTGGGATCAAGAGGTCCACAGGTGACCCCCTCCACACACACACACGCACACGCACACTCCGTTTGCTCTTTGTCCCCCAGCAGCCGGCTTTCAGAGGTAGACTGCCTCTGACTCTGGGGGTGCCACCTGGCCGCCATGGCCACTGGCCGCTAACAGACTTCTCCACTTCCACGGAAGTGCCAAAGCCCCTCTGGAAGCCCTCCAGGGCAGAGGACGTTGCCCCCACTGGTCTACCTATCGACTGGTTGGTGTAACAGCAGACATGCCCCCTGGTCCAAAGCTCCAGGCAGCCGGCACGGACACGAAAACGGAGCACTGGATACATGCGCCAGCGCTCTGAATATTGGGGGGGGCCCCCCGCACGTGCCACGACTTAAAAGGGCCTAGTTCTCTGTGCTGGATCACCCTGATATTCAACTTAGGCCCCGGTCACACGGACAGGAAACTGGGGGGGGGGGGGGGGGGGCTGGTTGCAAAGGTGCCTCTTCCTTTGTGTCTCCAGCATTGATAAGCCTCCTGCCTCCAGAGACAAGACAGTTTATGGGGGGAATAAGGACCCGGCGTCCTCTGGCAGCCCCTCCTGAGCACAGCCCGTGTTTGCGCTGTGGAAGTCGCCCACCCCCACCCCCGGCTGCCAGCAGGGCCTGTTCCCGATTGGGACATGTCAAATGCTAGATCATGTGAACCCATTTCTTGATGCTGAGCGATAGATGGGAGACTTTCTTTAGAAATTTCTTCTAGGCATTTCCTAGATTGTTGGTCCAGAACAAACAAGAGTTTCTTGTTCTTTATTCTACAAAGAAAGTATGAATTACAACACATGCACACCTCTAACTGGGGAACTATTTGGCACATCAGTGTCTGTGGCACTTCAGCATCACCCAATTATTTATTGTTAGCGGTATGGTATATATTTACTATCAATAACCTGTTAAAGAAGAAAGAGATTTTCCATAACAATATTCATGATGGACTAAGCAAATTATTTTTGCTTTTTCTAAAGAAGAAAAGGACTAAACATGAACAGACTGAAAAGGAAAGTAAATTAAAATAAAATGTTCAGATCTGGAGATCAGGCAGCATGAACTTACACAACGAGCATGAAAATCTGAGTTCAAAATTGCTTAATAAAAATTATTGAAGCCTGGTGATTAGGTCATATGGTTGGTATACTCTAGTTTCACAAAAAGTGCTAATTTAGCAATCTGGTATTTCATGGCTGAGAGCAAAAATTTATTTCTGTTTTCTCATGGGTGAACATTGAATTTAAAAGCAACACTGTCCTCATTTCCTTATATACTGTGTTTGAACAAATAAAAATTAGAACAGTCACACAGGGAGCTGGGGGGGGGGGACGGGACAGAGACAGACGGGCCGGCCGGGGCCCCAGAGGCCAGGAGAGGTCTGGAGCCTGCGCTCCAGCCGCGGGCCCAAGCAGAAGCAGCGCCGTGTCAGCCTGGCCGTGCGCTCCAAGAAGGCAGGCTGGGGTGCCCTCAGCACGCTGGGCAGGGGGCTGGAGGTGGGCCTCTCCAGGGAAGGGTGCCAGCTCAGCCAGGCATGACTGCTCAGTCGGCTGCAGTCCAGACAAGCCCTGCCCAGGGGGTGCTGCCAAGCAAGGCTGGAGACCCCCCCCCTTCCGCCGGCCCCAGCCCCCCTTCGTTCCCTACCTGCAGGTTCTGGGCGAGGCGCTGGGACCAGCGGGGCTCTTCTGCTGCTGCTGCTGCTGCTGCTGCCTGTGTGTGGGCCGGCTGGGCTCCTGCCTGGATTTAAAGCCGTGCCCTGCCCAGGGGGGGCTGCCAAGCAGGGTTGGAGACCCCCCCTCCGCCGGCCCCCCTTCGTTCCCTACCTGCAGGTCCTGGGCGAGGCGCTGGGACCAGCGGGGCTCTTCTGCTGCTGCTGCTGCCTGTGTGGGGCCCAGCCTGGCTCCTGCCTGAATTTAAAGCCTCCCACTCCAGCCCCACCCTGGGATGACACATCTGCCCAGCCCTGGCTGAGCCACACGCACACACACAGACACACCTGCCCTCTGCCCGCATCCTCTCCTCAGACTTTGCCCAGGGCAGCCCTGGGCATCACCCTCCTCAGCCCCCACCGGGGGGGGGGGGCCCTCCCCGGGAGCGAAC